ACGAATCTGTCACTTATGCACATGGTGTATTCGAGAATTATATATAAAGGCATCACTCGACTTTTGAGTTTGGTTTCGTCTTTTGAATATCTAATCCAAAAGGACGCCTACTAAATTATACGTTATTAACCATATATATACGACGGGTGTGGAAACTTTTGGTTTATAATATGAATACATGTTTTAAATTAAATATAAATAATAAATAAATATTTTTTATGTAAAATTCTTTAATTTTATTTTTATCAATATTTTTATTTTACAATTTTTGTACAACAATTAAATTAATTATTGCTTTATCTATCATATATTATCATAAATCATTATTGTTGTGTAGATAATTTATTTATGAATTCAATGTTAATCCAAAATTCCAATAGTTATTTTGAATGTTACCCTATTGAGATCCGACACCCGGGTATTACCCTGTTGGGGTTTTTTCTAGTTGTTGTTTAGTGTATTTGGGTTTTCTTCATTCTAGCTTTGCTAGTCGGGATTCTAGGCGGTCTTCTGACATGTTCTTCCTCTTTTCAGTCGTTGGCTGCTTGTATTCGCACATTTATACACTTGTGATTTATAATATTATCTATCTTTTCGGAAAAAAAAAATAGTTATTCTGAATGGAAAAATAAATAAATAAATAGTTGTGATAGGAATGCAAGTTGTGGGTGGGACCACCCCAACCACTATACGACGGCGTATGGCAGCCAACTTGTGCTCCCGCCCACCTTTTTGCCAATAAAACCACTCACCCTCGTCCCTTGTAGTAATCACATTCACCGATGTGTATGCATTGACCTTGGAACACTTGCTACAATTATACTCGCACAGTTGCATTATTTTTGTTTTAACAATATTTATTGACTTAAAACTATGTTAAGCAAACGAATTTGATAAGTTAGTTGATTAACTCATAATCGAATAGTTTGTAAGTGAAATTCGAGCTTATAATAATCGATAGTTTATAGTTAATGGCTGAAAAGCTAATTGATATAATAAAAATGTTTTATAAAATTAATTGATATGTCGACTGAAATAAAAATGTCATAATGCGAACTACTAAAGCTTAGGAGATAAGGTCGGGCTAATTGAAAACATTTATCCTACTAAATCAAACTTATATGAATACAAAAAGTTTTCATGCTAACAAAATAAACTATAAGCTAACTTTTAATGTTTACTAAATAAATACATTATACGTTGACAATGTTCGATGTTGCGAATCGTTAAGTACATAAGTGGTGTCAATATAAATCGTGCTATTCCATTGTCATATCAAAATTGTTAGACTTGTTTGGTAATACCATGCTTTAGAAAATTGAACCGGATCGGCGGGTCCAACCGGTTGGACAGGGAGCTGGTCCAATTTGTTGGAAAAAATCGATTGCCAATGCACCGGTCAACAGTCGGTTAAACCGGGCAAAACCGGCAAGAATAGGCCAAAAATCGGTCCGTTGGACCGGTTGAACTGATCCAATTTTTTTTTTTTTTTTTGTTTTAAAAAAAAGTTAATATATTTGAAAATATTTTTAATATGAATAAAAAATAAATATTTCAATATAATGAATATATATAAGTTATTATTAATTTTTTTAAGTATTTTGAATGTTTTAAATAAGTTCAATATTTAATTATTTATATATATTTTTATTATATAAAATGTTATATATGTTTTAAAATATTAATAAATTAAATATCGGTCCAACTAGTTCAACCAGTGGTCCGACCAGTGAACCATTGAACCGATAGCTTCACCGGTTCGATTTTCAAAACCTTGGGTAACACACGAGAGACGACTTTTACTATTCAGATGGTATTTGTCTTGCTGGAATTTTTATTTTATTTTTTCCAAACTCGAAACAATTCCCATTGAGAAATTTATGAAATTGTCTCCTTCTACTTTTATTTATGTTGAAACAACTTTTTTTGTTAAAATAAAAGTAATTTAGAGGTGTTGATCAGAGTCGATCCGTTCGCTAACTCTTTGTGTAAGTAAAGAGGTTTTACCCATTTGGCTACTTATACGAGCCGAATTCGAAAAGCTGAACAAGCTAGGTCGAACATATTTTCGAGCATTTCGTTTAGTTTTATCGAACATATTTTCGAGCATTTCGATTATTTTTATACAGAAATTTATGGAAATTGTCTTGTTGAACATTTTTTTTTTACAAATATGTAATGTATAAAAAACTTTACAGCAAGAAATTAGTTCTTTTATAGTATATTTTCTTAATAATATAATATGTGGAAAAAAGATGGGAAATTAGGAAAATGGGTTTAGTATTGTTATGGGCAGATTCAATGTATGGGACAACCACTTGTAATTAATAAATATATAGATGCAAGTTGCAATAGACCACAAACTCTACAGTCAATGTCACGTGCCCTATCGCAGCCTCCCACTAACTCAAATTGATATTTTCGAATATTGGGGCTGTGGAATTATTATAAGTTAGGGAGATGCTACGGTCCCGTTAAGTAACCATTCTGTCAGGGTTTGTAATCGTTAAATCAACTATCTCGGACGGTTACATGATGATCTAACGGTTACAAACCCGACGGAATAATTTCATAACAGGACCGTAGCAGTTTTCAATAAGTTGTATTATTATTATTACTTTTTTTTTTTTTGTATTAGTAGCTAAAATAATGCTATAGCTTAAAGGTCCCTGTTAATAACAACTGTTTTCATAATATGATTATGGGTGACCGAAATTAATGAATGTAAACTAGCCAAAAGGTGTAATTGAATATTATTTATAAAAATTTATTTTCTTAGCCCATGCTAGATTAGTTTTCATTTTGGTTTACTGCTTGCATTACAAGAAAATGATGAAAATTCAAATGGCAATATGATCCGATGAATATTTCAGTGCTATTGTTTTTGTTGGAATTTTTGAATGAATTCCAACAGAAATTCTAACCGAAAAAATTCCGTTGGAATAAGGTTTTTCATTGAAATTTCTATTGGATTTTGACGATTTCAACCATGAATTTTCCGACGCTTGAAATATAGAAATAATATTTCCAACATAAATTCATATGATAATAAATCGTTGGATAAAATATTCATTGCAATCAAATTCCATTTGAATGAAAACTTATTCAACTGGAATATTTTCGTTGGAATATCCATTAAAATATTTTACCTTTAGATTTTTCCGTTGGAGTATAATAATACTTTAATAGTGTTGGTTGGTTTTCAATAATTCACTTATGCTTTCAATATTAGCACAAATAATACACATATCATCGAACATGCTTAAACTTAAAAGACATGTATCTTGATAAATGAGTCGAGACAAGTCGACTTTGAGCTGCTGAAATACTTGTTCTATTAATGAAATAAATGAGTCGAGATGAGTCGTTGAAGTACTCGTCCGATTAACGTGACGAGCCAAGTTTGACTCGATTCAGCTCCTGCGCGATTGGTTTGAAAATTATCTTACGTTACATTATTTTATAGTATTTTAACAGTAATCTTTATTCTTTACATGTTTTTTATGTAACATTGTCTCAAGACCTATGTAAACCTTTTTTTTTTATGTTTTTTTTTTGACCTTTTAGAAGCAGGATTTTCGATAACAAGAGGGATAGGAAACAACTACAATTCCAAGGGGATTGCTGAAGAAGACAAGCCGGGAGTGTCGAGGATGAACTCTCGACTCAACTTCTCGCACTCAAAAGAATCTCTTTCTCGAATATCTGAAGAAATTGAGAACAATGCAGATAGCGACACACACGATAACAACAACAAAGCAAGATCTTCACGTTCTAACAACACGAGCACTTGCTTTACGATGGGGCTATGGGATAATGACAACCACCCTCTTACCTTTTCTGTTTCTCCAACCAAACAACCTAAACACCCCAATACTATGGATAATATGGAGTCTCAGGTAAGCCGAACACGTATATTGTTCTGTACATATTAAAGCATGCACGCACTATTTTCGCTAAATGATGCGATTGGTGTTATGATTATGTCTACATATTTTTCGTTAATTCTCGTCGTTGTTATCAGCAGTTTCAGTTTGGGATGTCACAAGGAGCATTGGAGTTTACTCCAATGGATAAGTTCATGAACATTCCTCAAGATTCTGTCCCGTGCAAAATTCGAGCAAAGCGCGGTTGTGCTACACATCCGCGTAGCATTGCCGAGAGGGTATGCACACATTTGCATATCTTTTATTTATTTATTCGTGCAATACAATATGAGACATCCGATGATGCAGGAAAGAAGAACACGAATCAGTGGAAAGTTGAAGAAGCTGCAGGATCTTGTTCCCAATATGGATAAGGTAAAACTATCTCTCTCTCCTTTCATTAACCATTCATCGCATTTTTTCTTTGTGTTTTTTTCGACTAGTATCGATGTTTTTAGTCAGTTAGCGATTGTTATATGATATATAGGAAGAATATTATTACGTGCCAATTAGCACATACATGCATTAAATTGTGCATCTCTATATGAAATGATCTCCTTTTTTCATGACAGCAAACTAGCTATGCCGACATGCTGGATTTGGCCGTCCAACACATAAAAAGCCTTCAAAATCAGGTTCAGGTTGGTATCGTTGTTGTTCTTTTGATTTTGGTTTTTGGCTATAAAAACAAAAGATTTTCGATTTTTTTTTAAGCGAACTTTGAAAAGTTACAATGTTCGGTTTTGCTTTTGTATTCTCATGTCGAATAGCAACTCAACGACGAGCTGGATGGTTGCACGTGTGGATGCAAGAAGACTACACCTTTCTAGCCAAAAAAAAAAAGAAAAAAAAAAGTTGAAAAAGAAAGTCTAAAAATAAAACACATATATGGTAGAGGTAGGGCTTACAATTTACTGAAAAATTGTTCGGCGCTATGCCAAAAGAGAGCATTAGCCCACACTTGAAGGTGCTTATCAATCTTGGAGGGATGAGCTAGATTCATTCATGGTTACATCAAGTTGTATAACGTTTGAGACGAGGTCGATCGTGTGTACATTGTTGTTAGATTTGTAATTTGTTTCTTCATGCAAATAAAGATACTTTGAAATTTGTATTCCCCAAAATTTTGTCTGCGCGGTTGTACGTTTGGTCCAAATTCAAATATCCGTTTGTAATTCAATTTCATTTGTTTCGTCTACTGATATAAGTACATATAGATGTGTGTGTGCATAGATAAGTGCATGCAAGTGTGTGTGTGTGTATGTGTGTGTGTGTGTGTTTGTTAACACTAGCATATATTACGATTTATCATGAAGGGACGTGATGTTTTTCTCGGTTTAAATGCTTCGACGATCAAGTTAGTACCCCAGAGAGGATGATGTAATTTTAATTGAAAGTATGCTTTGTCCTGTGTGTCGTGTGTCTTTTCGTGTGTTTGTACCTTTGATACATACTATCAGTTCCATTTTCGTGCTTTTCATTTGATTAAGTGTCAGGGTTCATAACACTTCATCCCCACCCCCACATGTTCCACACTCTCAATATAATAAAAAGAAATAAACACTTTATGGTAAATATATATATGATAATATTAACATTGTAGTAGTTTATAAAATCATGTAAAGCTGCTATTACAAATAGCAACTTTAGGCAATGCCCTTTAATTTACTTTTCTACCTTTTGTAATTAAGTATAAAAAGAACTCTTAAACACATTTTGTGTTTTGACTTTTCGTTTCCTCAAATTAATCAAAGCACACTCGATTCTTTTTTCTTTCTCTATCTATTCTTAATTTTTCATTAAGTTCTTCATACTTCAAATTCGAGCTTGAATCCATAACCGAACATGGTATCATTGCAGAAAATCGATCATCGCTTCCACACACTAATTTCTATTTTTTTTCTCTTCATATTGCGATTAATTCTCAGCCTCTGAGAATTCAATCGATTTAGGGTTTTTAAATCTTTGAAACCCGACCTTTTGATCTACTTTTTTTTCGGAACCTACACCTTCTACATCTTAGATTTGGGATGTAGTTAAGAATAGGGATGCAATAAGTACTGGTCCTAGAGTTTTTCAGATAGAAATATCACTTACTACCATGTCTCAGGTGTTGGGATCTATGATGATCTCGTTATGTACAAATTCCGAATTCAATAGAAAATGTAAATCTATGCGCAACAGGTCTAAAGATTTGACGTAGGAAACTTACGACTTAAAATTTTCTGAATCTGGCGGATCCGGATTGACCGGGAATAGCACACGATGAAGCTGGGATCACAAACAGGTCGGGTCGGGCTCAACGTCGGGTCGCATGCATCGCGACGGGTCACCGGTGGGTCGCGCGGGATCACCGGCGGGGCTGGATCATCGCGCGGTGAAGCTCCGGTACTTGACGACAATGGTCCGGATGCTCGGGGTCGGCGGTCGCGGCCTTCAGGTCGTGGTCCGTCGGCTCCAATTGATCACCGGGGTTGATGAATATATGTATCTCAATTACCTCGAGTTACCTCGAGATCTTCTACTGTATTACTCACACACCTTTTCAACTTCCATCGATGGAGCAACAACAAGAAGATAAAGCTCGAACAGTTTAAAACCGAGAGAGAAGAGAAAGAAAGAGACGTCATGCATGTGATGTATATTGCACGTAGGAGAATTATGACTCTTTTCCATGAGCCTAATGATGTATATATGGATCTACAGTAGGGACCCTTAGGAGATTAGAAATAGGGTTTCTTAAGTAATGGACTAACTGTGTGTATGACCCACTCCTTCAATTACTTAAATATATTATGGGCCACTAACATAATATTATTGCAATTCACATTATTTATGAGATAAACAATGCTATTTTTGGGTAATAGTATAATTTAGGTAATTTTGATACGTATTAAATTAAGTTTATCAAAAATTCTATAGAGTCATTGGATGGTTTTCTTATGGAACTATCCACCACTTAATGTATTGACACTTGTCCAAATTATATTTATTGCAGGACACGTATTGGTACACTATTGGTGAATAAATGTGATGACTTCATAAATAGAGTCATCTAATGATTCAATAGAAAACTGTTAAGTTTATGTCAGACGAATCATATTTCTCTATATGATAAATTAATATTATCATTTGATAATCTTAAAATAATGCATTAAACATAGAACTATCAAATATAATTTGATTTTATTATTCATATAAAAATTCTTCAACTTATAGAAATATCAATCTTTACATAACAAACTTTAGAATTAATCCTAACGAAGTTCAATAATATTTCAAAATTTGGTTCAAAATTTTAGGCGGGAAAATATATGTTATTGTTTGCAAAATGAATTGGTCCATCATATAGATATAGATATAAATTGTACTGATAATATTGAGGATAATATTGTTGGGTTAAAGCTGAGTTAGATTTTGAGTATGGATTGAATATGAATTGAAAAAATTTATAAACAAACACACCGTTACATTTCCATCCTCATTCATTTACAATTTTAGAAATTCCTCATTTTCAAATTTGGTAATTTGAAAAAAATATAATAAAACTCTATCAGCATATACAATTATAGAAAATTCCGCGTCTAAGTGTCAATTTTTAGAGTTTCATAATCTCTATGTGTTTTTGTAGTCCCGGTATAGATTGGATATATAAGGGCTTGATTGTTTATGAAATAATTTGTTCAAAATGAGTTATTTTGGTTAACCATAGTTCAATTTGAAAAAGTAGTATGGTTAGGTGTTAGTGGAATTTTAAGAATATATTAAAATAATATTTAAAATAAAATGTTTAAAATTATATTTGATGTAAAAGTAAGAGATAAATGATTGGAAATGATATGTAGTTAAAAATATGTGAGTGGATGAATAGTGAATTAAAGTTGATGTGATGTGTAAGAATGATTGGTTTGTATTATTTAATTATATGAATAATATTAAAGATAGTGGGGTTGAATTAAAGTTGAGTTAAATTTTGAGTTGAAATAAAGTGAGTAAATTAATCCATAAACAATCAAGCCAGGGCATCCACATCCCTAAAAACAAAAAACCATTTATTCAATAAAAAAGTAACACTCTCTCTCATCCACATTATCTCCACATCATCTTTCCACTAAGGGCTCGTTTACTAGCACGGACGGGATTAGACAAAATAGTCCCACCAACTATCAATCTTTTGCCATGTCATCTTCTGTCCTTAGTTTACTAACCTTGGCACAGTTTTTTCTAATCCAATCCTTTATTTACTACACGTGATTAAACTGAATGCATTACACTTCCAAATACAATTTTTCCCTTCGTCATTTTTGTACCCTCGTCAATCTCGTGTTCTCTCATATGTGCCTTCACCCAAATCTGCAAATCACCTTCGCACCCAAATCTCGTTCTCTGATCTGCGCCCTTCGTCATTTTTGTAACCTTGAGGTGCGTTAAATCTACTTGCGATTCTCCCTCTTCTTTCTACTGCGTTCATTTTTATTTCTCTTTTTCCTGTCAAAATAATTGTGTTCGAGTTGGATGTCTGAAGGTTTTACAGTTTTTGTTGAATTGTGTTTCTATTGTGTGGTAATTAAAGTGGGTTCTTGTTTTTTTGTACTTGTTTTATGTTGAAAATGGTGCTAGATATGGGGTTTGTAGATTTTGCTTAAATATTGTTTCTGTATTAGGTTTTCATTTCATTTCCTGGAGTTTTGTTTTTACTTGATAGATGAATACAAGTTCAAGGCCTTTCAATTTTTTCGATTTGTCGATGGAGCATAAGGTAACTGGTGAGATACATTGGATTTGAACAGCTAATACTTTTTCGTAAATGGCAACTCTGCTGCTTCAAGATCGGTCATTTGGCGTTGAAGACTGTATTGGCAACACTGTTGTCTAATATTCTGATGAAGTAGATTAATGGGACCTTTACATGTTTGAAAGTGATGTTCATACTAGACCATGAGTTGGTAAAATGATATATTCTTCCTTCTGGTATATGTGATTTAGATTTTTTGTTCAATATATTTTGTGGCCTGTATTAGTTGAGTTCTGACTGAAGTTAGGATGTTAGGATGTATTAGTTGAGTACTGACTGAAGTTAAGATAAGAAAGATACATGAGAGTTAGCCTTGGCTGATGGTGTATCAATTTGGATACGTTTCATACTATCTTCTATATTATACCAAACCCTTGTGTGTTTGTCAGTAGTTTGTGTTTTGGTTGATGTTTGATAATTGAAAGCAAAAGAAGCAGCCTGAAGTGCTTTATATTGAGGCCTTGTTGTGGCATGATTTGAGCATTAAATTGAACATGGTTTTGTAAGGATGTATGCTGGTATATGTGATTTAGATTTATTGTTCAATATATTTTGTGGCCTGTATTAGTTGAGTTATGACTGAAGTTAGGATGTTAGGATGTATTAGTGGAGTACTGACTGAAGTTAAGAAAATAAAGATACAGAAGTGATGTTTGTCAGTAGTTTGTATTTTGGTTGATGTTTGATAACTGAAATCAAATAAAAATTCATGACGTTGCTGAACGCTGAGATAGATGCTCATATGTATGGTTGTGGTATATTTTTGTGGTGTGATAACTATATTAAATCTGTAACATATGAAATAGGTATGGAGTGCCACCTCCCGCCAGAGCAAAGACAATATTTGTTTAATAAAAAATGGACATTTGAGGTTGATGAGTCGTTCGCGCAGTTGCTGGTAAGAGCACAACCCCCTTTGCCATTGTTACTTGAAGGCAATAAAAAAGACGAGTACTCATTGTTTACTTTAGGCGCGGATATGTTGACCACTAAGTTAGGTACGCCATACACTTTATTAGATTGTGAAATTAGATT